GTTCTACTGACTCTAGGAAGTCAGCTTCTCACTTCACCAAGCGGCACCCTTGAAACTACTCCCTATTGATGCTCTGTTTTTCTACCTAACCGAGACTAAAAAGTAACTCTATTTTCTTTCTTTTTCACTCGATGCCTTGCTGTTGCTGATCTTCTTGCTTTTATAGAGACTAGAATGGGCAAGTTTGCTTAGCTTAGTTGATCTTCACTTTATCAAAGGAGTCAAGATTGATTTCCTTGATTTAGAGAAGTCTCATGCTTTGCCCATGCTCTCTTTGTGTTTTAGTCAGCACTTGGGGAGTTGTTTATTTGATTAATTAAGCTTATGGTTCACCATCTCCCCTTGCAATCAATAGCATCACTTCACCTCCATGCCTTCCTTCTTTCCTCAGCCCTTAAAGTTTGATTTCTTCTCTTCCCACTGCTGCTTCTGCTGCCAAAAGTCTTCACCACCAGATTTGCATCATCAATCCAATTGGGTCTTTTTCAATTCTGCCCAGATATTCACCATTTTACTCCATTTTGCCCACCATTTTTTAGATTTTGCATTTAGGTCCTTTGATCACCAAAAGTCACAAAATTATATTAGAAATATCAAATTCCTACTTACTTAACCTAAATCCTAAGTCAAAAGAGGTAAAAAAATGTGCACAAAAATATTTATAAATTTACTCCCATCATTCCTCTAAACACAAATCTAAATAATGTGTAAACAAATTTTGATTCTTCTAATTAAGTCTACCAGAGTCTTCAGGTTTCATCCTAATTCAAAACATCAACATAATAATAGAAGTCAAGTAAAAAATATTAACACGTGCAATATTTCACGAAACATGTAACTTACAGTATCAACTTAGCTAAAACTTAAAGTAATCTTGATCATCCAGAAGGGGCATAAAGATGCTAACTTGCATTATTTAAATAACTAGCACGAAAAGAAAATTAAAGGACAGAAGAAGGAAAAGAGATGATGCTATAACACAAGAATGCGTGCTTGGGACTAGTAGTGATAATGAAATTGAACAACTCATGCATTTTGTATCCTTTTTAATTTGCACTTAAAAAAAGAAGAAGAAGAAAATTATTGCCTACAAAGAACATGTACTTCACAATGTATAAATATCCTACAATCTAATTTAACAATTAAGCAAAGAATATAAAAAGATAACCCCCCAAAAACCACATTCACACGTACCAAACTCCAATAATTTCCAAACACCAAACAAACTCAAAAAGTCAAAAGTAATCAATTTTCAATGTTTACGCAGGCACAAAATTTTAGTCTATTAGTCATTCACCTTTTCAATATAATTAGCAACAATACTTATTTCCAAAGAACACTCCAAAATCAATAAGAAACTCCCAAACCCTAAACCACGTATAAAGAAATTTAACAAAAAGCAAAGGTCTAGATCTAACTAGATATGAAAGTTGAAAAACAGAACTGAAGGATTCAAAGCATATGTAGTTGAATATAATGAGATTCTCAAAATTTGAAGGAAACCAATCTACTTAGGCATCAAAATTCAATATAGCCCACAAAAACAACACAAAAACAATAGTTAGATAATTATAAAAATAACAAAGAAGGACAAAACAACTAAATTTTAGTTTCTACAATGGTGTCATAATATATTGTAATTTTTTCAATGAACAAATACAATTTCATTATGTAAAATAAAACATTATTACTAAAATATTACCTTGTGAGTCAAAATTTGGGATTGGAGAATGAATCAAGATTGGTCGAACACATGAAGATAGAAGGAGTTGCTAACGAAGAAGAAACCATGGGAGTGAAGAGAGAACGACGCGAGAGGAGAGGGGGAAAGAAAAGTGGTATATTGTGAAGGGTACTCCTGGCCGAGGAAAAAAAATTCATTAAAGTTCCAATCACTGAGCGTGTGAAGTTATAAAGGTCAAGTGATTCTAAGGAGGCTTTTTAATAGAAAAGTTTAGATGCCCTTAAAATTAAGATGCCTTATTTTGAGCTATCAAATAAATCTAATATTGTTTAAGTACTTAATCAATTAAGTTTCAATGATTAAATGATTATCAAACGGAGCCTAAACTAAAATGTAGGTTTGAAGTACTCAATATACTTAAAATTATTTATCGTATTTCTATTAGATCTCAACAACTCGTTATAGTTCCCATGTTTGCTTCATAAATTGTAAGAAGATGGAATTATGGATGAATAGAAGGCTATAGGAGTGGTAGTATATAAAGATAAAACCTACCAAATGATACATCTATGAAACAATAAGTTAGCGAAGTGGAGAGAAACTCTTTATCCACGTCCTTATGATCTTTTAAGTGATTAATTATCTCCTTTACAATCTAGATTTATTTGTTTCTTTGCCTCTTTTAAGTTATATCACATTGATTCCAACGTAGAAATAAACGAGAGAGGTTGATATCTTCGGGTTTGCTAAGTACAAATAACTTAAAGGTCCCAAACTTTAGTCTGTAGTGACTTGAACTTCCGACATATTAGAAGTGAGATAGACATTTTTTAAATGCGTTACACTTCAACATCACTGTTATCAGTTGTCTAACATAATATGATGCCAAAGAGAAAAAAGTTTAATGGACGAAGTAACAAGGTAAAAAAAATCACATAAGATAGTATAATTACAAATCAGTAAAAAGGGAAGATGTAAAAACGACATATCAAAGACAAGATTATCGCAATGCAGAGTGACAACAATATGTTAGGTGTTCTGGATGAGGTGTCACTTCGATTCCGAGGACTTTACCAAATGTAACAACCTAATAAATATTAAACAGGTGTCACTATTCATGTATATTAGCCTCACCTATTTAAACCCCAAAACTCAATTGCTAGCCCATCCATCAATCCATACTTTTCACACACACGCGCGCGCAAGCACATACACACACACAAACCTGATCTCCTCTTGATTTGATCTCTCTCGCCACCGTAAAAAGGTAAAACATTATTCATGACCCAGGCAGAGGTATGGTTTATTTTTCTTTTGAGCCCTTTGTATAAATGTATAGTACCCCTGTTCTTGCCATCATTGATTTCAAATTAATCATTTAATTTCAGAGATTCAGTCAGCTATTGATTCTTTACTACTATCTGGTGATTTTTTTTTCCGTTATCAGATGGTCATAGCGAAGTCCTTTCAAATTAATGTAATTGGTCATGTAGTTATCTGAAGTTTTTAAATTTGGGTGAAACAGCAGTTACTACGTCAGATCCGTTTATATTGATTTTGTTTAGGTAGCAATTAATAGTAGCAAGATTAATTTTCTCATTAATGGGAGCCTATTTCAAACCTAATAAAATCAAACTGATGTTTTATTGTTATTTTTAACTATTATTTTTATTTTGATTTTACCATTAGTTCACTTCATTTAGTGACAAGTTTCAAACTAATAAAAGGTTTCTTCTTATAAAATTTTGGTCCAATTCAGATTTTTCCATATTTAGTTTTGTTGTTAGTTTCCTTAAAAGGCCACATGTCGTACTGGATCAAAACTTTTGTAGTGTATTACGAGCATCTCAAATGTGTCTCCTCTCTTTTATAAAAGACAGTTATTGAAGTATCTTTGCATAAATATTGTTAATCCCTAAGTACCTTTACAGATTTGTTCTTCTTATCAAATGGTATAAAATTTCAACTAATTATAATAGACCACTCCATTCAGGAATTGAGAAAATGCTAAGGAAAAATGACTATAATGTCGAGATTTTACAAGTTCAAATTTTAAATATGTTGTATGATTGATTTGTATATCTAATATGTTTTATGTTAAAATCACTGAAGAAATAAATGTCGACGATGTGATTGCTTCAATCGATTTTACCATTAGTTCACTTCATTTAGTGACAAGTTTCAAACTAATAAAAGGTTTCTTATAAAATTTTGGTCCAATTCAGATTTTTCCCATAGTTAGTTTTGTTGTTAGTTTCCTTAAAAGCCCACATGTCGTACTAGATCAAAACTTTTGTAGTGTATTACGAGCATCTCAAATGTGTCTCCTCTCTTTTTTAAAAGACAGTTATTGAAGTATCTTTGCATAAATATCGTTAATCCCTAAGTACCTTTGCAGATTTCTTCTTCTAGTCAAATGGTATAAAATTTCAACTAATTATAATAGACCACTCCATTCAGGAATTGAGAAAATGCTAAGGAAAATGATTATAATGTCGAGATTTTACAAGTTCAAATTTTAAATTTGTTGTATGATTGATTTGTTTATCTAATATGTTTTAGGTTAAAATCACTGAAGAAATAAATGTCGACAATGTGATTGCTTCAATCGATTTTATCATTAGTTCACTTCATTTAGTGACAAGTTTCAAACTAATAAAAGGTTTCTTATAAAATTTTGGTCCAATTCAGATTTTTCTCATAGTTAGTTTTGTTGTTAGTTTCCTTAAAAGCCCACATGTCGTACTAGATCAAAACTTTTGTAGTGTATTACGAGCATCTCAAACGTGTCTCTTCTCTTTTTTAAAAGACAGTTATTGAAGTATCTTTGCATAAATATCGTTAATCCCTAAGTACCGTTGCAGATTTCTTCTCCTAGTCAAATGGTATAATGTCGAGATTTTAATGTCGAGATTTTACAAGTTCAAATTTTAAATTTGTTGTATGATTGATTTGTATATCTAATATGTTTTAGGTTAAAATCAGTGAAGAAATAAATGTCGACGATGTGATTGCTTCAATCGATTTTGAAGACAAATCTTCGACGGATTTAATCTCTCAATTTCATACCGTATGTATCATATGTATTTACTTATTCATTTTATTGATTTATCCAACATTAAATTTTATTTTTACTTTAAAAAAAAAATTGTTAGGTTTTAATTTAGGTGTGGAATGACAATAACAAAGATTTGTAAAAGAGGGTTTTAAAAATTCTTTCCGGAGAAACATTTTTTTAAAACAAAATAAATTTTTTTTTCAAAAGTGTGGTCTAGATGACTGTTAATCCCTATATGCTTACTTAACTTTTCAGCAGAGCAACATGACTAATCAAGGTCATCAGAAGACTGAACTAGATCCCTTTGAGTTATCATTTCTGGAACAGCATGAGGAAGCTGCTCTTGAATTCGGATACAGCAACACCATGAATGGAGCATTGAATTCAGTATTTCTCACACTCCACTCATAATTCTCCAATAGTATCTGTATTCTTTTCTTCCAATACGAATTCAAACTAACTTAATTTCATATATATTAAACTAAGTTAAATGATATATAGATATCATTTAACTTAGTTTCAATTCATCATATATATTAAATACTTTTATCAATAAAATAAGTGGTAAATTATGGTTAGGTGAATCTTTTGACACTTATTCTCTGTCAAGACAAAAAATAATAGGAGAAATGGGAGAAATTTATCATTCATTTTTATTATTCCGGTTTCATATTGTCTTTCATTTAGTTTTATTTTTTTTTTGGTGGACCAGGCCCTAAGTGAAAGCAATAACAGTCCACAAATGTTGACTACCCCAGCTGAGCATAATGACTCACGAGACGTTTTATTACACTGGTATAATTAACATAATTGTAGAAGTTATGAACTTGATTTTTATCTAAATATATTGTCTCTGTTTATTTCTCTAACTAAAATAATACAAAAAGATACTCTTATTTTTTTAGAGTGGAAGAGTACTAAAGATGTCATGACATGTATAGATAAATTTCATACTTTTGTTAAGTTTGGAAATTTAGACTAAATGTGTCATTCGAGACCGAAGTCTCACGTGTTTTACTACTTCTTCCTTAATTTCTTTTTTAGAAAATTAACTTCTCTATTATTTCATCTCAAATTCAGGACTCAGCAGCCAACAAACACTCACATGGCTAGTTACAATCAAGTCACCAGTGTTGCTTCAAGAGAAAATCATCAACCAACAGCATCATGGCTTCATCCAAACTTAGAATGGAGGTGCCTACTTAATTCATTTTATACTATACATAAATATTTCATTCCTTTTCTTTGTTTATAAATTAAAGTTAATGAGATTTTTGCTGCACTTATTGTTTTTGTGTTCCAACATATTAGCCCACCTGCGCACTCTCTCCCTTTAAGGGCACAATCCAATTATCAAGGCTTTTTGTTGAGATCTAGCTCCAGACCTGGAACAATTCAAATTGGGACTGGTCCAAATGCTCGAGAGATTGTGATCCCTCTAATCACATCTTCTCGAGTTGATAAGAAGGTATACTCTTATGATCTCTTAAAAGTTCACAATTTTGTAAATAATATAGTCATAAATCATAGGATGGTAATCATGGATATTAATACATCTATCTTACAAAACTAGTTTAATATAGTACTAAAATCTATTAAAAAAATTTAAACAAAATGAACTATTTTCCTAAGAAGAAGAACCACCTTCTGCAGGAAAGCAGATCATCCATTAATGACTTGGTACGCCATTGAAATTAGATTATATTTTATAAACAACAATAACACCACAATCATGCTAAAACAAAACACATTTTTCATTTAATAATTGCTAAAACAACAATAATTGGTTGTTGAATTAATTAATTCGGGTTCATAATCTTATTAGAGCTTCCACATTAACTTATTTATCAAGGATAAAAATGAGTTCAATTCATTAATGTAATTTTGTGACATGTAGGAAAGGGCCAGTCAAGAAGGACAAAGAATTTCTCCAAATAATCAGCACATGAATCTTTCGAGAAAGCGTGGAAGGTATAGATGTGATCAGTGACGGTTTTCGAGTTAATCCAAGATACTGCCGATTGATCTCAATCATCTTTGGAAATGTTGATTCACATTTCTGCTTGTTAATTCATAACTAAGCAAAATTAGCGTGAATTTTTGTTATGGGACAATAAACTTGACTCTCATTGTTTTTGAAAACTTTCAATGTTCCTTAAAACTTTGTTTTATCGTATTGGTTTGCCTTGTTAATTGGACATGAAATTGGTGTGAATTTGGAGCTGCTCTCTTATTATTTTTCATGCAAATTTTGGAGTTTTCATAAGTACTCTTAATCATGGGTTTTTTAAAAATGCGATGAGTTGGGACTAGAGAAAATTGTTGTGTAGACTGATAGCAAGCTTTTAGCGGATATGCTTCGAAAGGAAATGAATTATCCTTGGAGATACCATCTTGAGATGCAGGATATTGAGTCTATTATGAAGAGGAGACAGTATATTATTTCTCACATCTATAGAGAGGTAAACTTGGTAGCAGATAGTCTGTGTAAAATAGTTTCTTTACGAGTTACTGGCGCTTAGGAGATCTTTGCAGCTCTTCCGGGAAGGATCAAGGATCCATTTATTTTGGATCAGAGATTTTTTCCTTATGTTCGTTCAAGATAATTCCATATGACCATTAACCAGCGTCCTCGGTGTGATTAACTAGTAATGTGGCACGATCATAGTGGACATCACTCTAATGATTACTAACCAATAGTTTTTGTAGGGAACTCGTTAGAGGGTGTAATCAATCCTGTTTGCTGGCTAATATCATTGACGAGCGACTTAACAGTATGGTGGTCTGATCATTAGGTTGATAAAATTCTTGGATGTAGTTGATGATTTGGTATAATAATATTTGAGGAATTATAGTTTATGCTTTGATGTATCTTGGCAGTCTTACGCACTGCAAAAATTTTTTTCTCAAAAATTAATAAATCGAAAGTCATCCGCGCTAGGTACCGCCTTGGTTCTACCATTCATTTTACATGTTATTTATTTGATCTTGCTTTGACTATATGATCTCTGAATCTATGTATTGTTAGGTAGGTGTTTCAAATTTATTTATTTCGTTTTTTTTATAAGAAGGAGACAAGCTATTACCAAAGTGCATATTAGAAGGTTAGATTTTTCGGAAGAGCTATATATCAATAACATCATGGTGAAACCAACAATGTCTATAGCAATCAGAATATTTCTCTGCTGATTTTATATTAACCTTGCCACATTCACATCTTTAGTACGATTGATAAATTGAGTCCGGGAATCCTTTTCAGAAGCTAAATTTTCAAGGGGAAAAATAATTGCTCTGTTCCAAGCGGATAATCAATGTTTATTTTGAAAGTTTTACTAAAAAATATCTTATTCTTTTCTTTTTGGAACAGATGTAATATTAAAATTACTATTTGGGTTTCTAATTCAGATCAGTGAGAAAAATTTTATTCAATAAAAGACGAAAATAAAAAATTAGTCCTTTACAGTAAGCCATTTACACATTTTGGTCCTCCACATCAACATTTGTCTGTTTTAGTCATCTACTTCTACGTTTATAACTTTATTGGTCTTTGAATACTATTTCGTCAGTTTGACCGTTTCGGACGTCGGTCAATAGGGGTATTTTCGGTATGTTACAAATTTTTTTCCAAAAAGATATTTTTATTGAATAAAATAGGTTGAGGAGTTTTTTTTTTAGTTTTTCATGATTTGTTCTTTCGGAAAATGTTTACAAGTGTTGATTTGAAATTGATGATTGCAGTCTTTTCTTTTTCGGAAAGAGCTCTCTGTTTGGGGGATTTTTTGGATGGATTTTTTTAAAATTATTAATTAATAACTATCTCATCCCAGTATGCCTTTTTATATTTCCAATACACTTTTTTACGTTCCAGATACAAAAGCCACCTAAAAACACATAGTAAAAAATGATCCAAACATAGTTTCCCTACTTTGGTCTTGAAATGCCCCACTAAACATGTTACTCTCCTGGTTCCTAAATTTTGTACTTTTAAGAAATCAGTAAATCATATTTTCTGAATCACATTAGGATAAAACCAAAACAGTAATCTTTAGTACTCTTTTATCTCAAAAACTCAATTTCGATTATTTGTTTTTTTGAGACAGAGATAGTACAAAACACCAACAATGCATTTGCGCCGTTTTGATTGTATTTCAGAGATAAGTAAAGGGAAAAGGCTAATACATGTACAAGTATTTTACTTTTAATGCCTACTTGTATTGGTCTTAAAAGAATTTTCACCAATCCAATCACAGATAAACATAAAATACGTTTTGTTATATGCTTAACTTATACCATTCCATAAAAAAATCTAGGCTACCAATATCTAAGAAGTAGAAATCGTTAGATAATTTATTCAAGTAGTTAGTCTTCACTTTCTTTTAAGATTTCTTTGCTGACCAGAAAAGAGTACAACTAATAATTTGACCGGTGATTTCCCCATTTAATTCCATACTCTAACAACAAATTTGCTAGAGCAATATATTTACTGAAGCACGATATAATATGTCTACTCAATAGAGGATGAAATTTACCCTTTTTTGTTTTCAAACTTTGCAATTGGCCAGTTTCACTGGAAATTTGCCTTGAAAGGTCGTATACTAGTATTAGTTAACCTATAATAATATTTTAAGTTTGTAAGCAATTTCATTTTCTTCAACTCTACTTGTCATATGGCATCGCTGTTTGTATTATTAACAAGTATCTACGACTTCTAGTAGTTCTATTGTAAAAAACTTAGGGTATGTATAGATAACATTTTTGTTATCATTTTCATTTCCATTTTAGATTTGAAATGTGATTTAATCCTTATCCTTATACTTAAATAAAAGGCACAGTAGGCAAGAAATAATACCTAAGAAATATTCAAGAACTACCATGGAATCGATCTCGTCCGTCGGATGGGGTTGATATGATGTCAGCTACTTATTATGGGTAAAACAAGGATTTAATAAATCACTTTCAATAAAATGCACAGTAGACAATAAATAATGCCTAAAAAATATTCAAGGACCACCGTCAAATCGATCTCGTCCGTCGGATGGAGTTGATGTGATGTCAGCGACTTATTAGGGGCAAAAATGAAAATTCAAAAATTCAGTTTATTCCAATTAAAAAAAACCCGTAACCTTTTGAAAAAAATAACTCCTAACCTATAAAAAATGACGTCGTTTCAGGATTTAACTTTGGAATCCCCACTCCTGAAAACAATATATTTACAAAGACTTGAAAGTTTTTTGTTAAAAAACAACAACAAAAAGACTTCGTTTTGTGGATTTTTCAAGGGAAAAAAAATAAAAAAAAATAAAAAATAACTCACACCGTTCAAAATCCCAAAACCGCTCCTGTCATTGTTCCCAATTTTTTTTTCCTACTAATAACCTCCATAAGGCAGTGCTCCGCCTACTCAAGTCCCCCTTCGTCTATTTAGCCGCCGCTGCCGCTTCCCTCTCTGCATCCTCCGCCACCACTAAACCCTCGAAGATATATTTTCCTTAAACATACTTATCCAATTCATACCATCCCGATTCCACCTCCACAAATTTAACCAAACAAAAACCCTAAATTCTACCGGAGTCACTCCGTCGAAGAGATTTTGCAAGAATAACTTCCTTCACTTGTACAAGATCAAATTCGTGGGGGAGCAACCGCTTGTATCGTACCACGGTGAAAATGGAACTTTCTGGCTGAAACTAGGATATTATTAGATTAGTGGAAAAATTGACCGATCTACCCAAAAGTTGATATGCGTTGTCAATTCTATCCTATTCTTTTTCGATTAGCCAATATTACCCTAAGCTATCCAACCGTTAGCCAATTTTGTCCAATTGGCCAATTTCCGTTTATATTAACGGAATTCTATTAGTTTAAATTATAGAAAACACCCTGATAGTTTTGAAAATTATAAAAACAGCCCTAAAAATTTGTAAAAATAATCAAACAATCTTTTTACACTTTTTATTTAATTTTTTTATGTTTTTTATTTATTTTTATTATTTCTCATAACTATAAAAATATATTATATGATCTTTTAAAAAAAACTATTTATTCTTAGACACTACTGTGCAAATTTATAGATATGTATATTTGTAACACATGGTTGATTTACATAAGTATATTAATTTTTTTAATAATATAACTTGGCAATAATGATATTAGTTTTTTTTTAATCCTTTTTTCAATTTAAAGAATAATATTTTTTCACTAGAAACCAATTTTTTACAAAAAAGTAAAGCATTTAGCATAGATTGAAAAACAAACTATATATTGTATTATCCAATTCAAAAAATTACTAAACTAAAATATAATGTACAGTCTAGTGTTTAGGGTGTTGAGCTCCATGATAGTAGATATAAGATTAATTCTCACCAAAGATTTTTAACCGGGAGAGTGATTTTATTCACATTTATGCATGGTTTACTAAAGGTGAGAGGGTTGAGTTGGATGGTCAGGTGATTTAAGATGGGAGATGATTATTACTGTGTTCGAGGCTTCAATTCTCATTGGAGCGATCTTTTTTTTTTAAAGGTGGAGTCCAGTATTGGAGCAGATTTTTTTTATTATTATTAAAAAAAATTTCCTGCCAAAGTTAGATGTTAATAACTCAAAAAAATTATCACGAAATGTTAAACTCTCGTAATGATAAATATACATATTTTTTATAAAATATTTTGTACCATTTTTTTTTGACTTTCTGTTTGTACTTGACCTTTTAAAGAAAATGTATATTTTAGTTTAATTATTTTTTTTAATTTTACAATACAATCTAAATTCTGTTGAATTATATTGTAAGAATACATTGAAGTATACGAATAAAAAAAATTTAATCTATGCTAAATGTTTTATTTTTTGTGCAAAATTAGGTTTAGTTAAATAATCTTATTTTTTAGATTAAAAAAATGGATTAAAAAAATAATATCATTACTGTTAAACTATATTATTAAAAATTTAATATGTTTATGTAAATCAACCATGAGTTACGAATATGCATATCTATAAATTTGTACAATAGTATTTTAAATATAAATAGCTTTTTTTAAAAAGATTATATAATATATTTTTATAGTTATGAGAAATAGTGAAAAAAAATAGAAAACAGAAAAATTAAATAAAAGTGAAAAAGACTGTTTGGTTATTTTTACAAATTTTTGGGTCATTTTAAATTTTTTTAAAAACTATTAGGGTTATTTGTAATTAAAACTAACGGAATTCTGTTAATTTAATCAGAAATTGACAAATTGGACAAAATCGACTAATGGTTAGATAACTTAGGGTAATATTGGCTAACTGAAATAGAATAGGGTAAAATTGACAATGCGTGTCAACTTTTGGGTAGATCGGCCAATTTTTTCTTAGATTAGTAGCTAAAACTTTCTGGCTAGAATTTTGCAAAACTATGGAATTTGCGTAACAACGATGATGCTAGAGAAATAAAAAAAATTGGAATCTTCAAAAAAAGCATGTGCAAAATACTTCATTTGATCACAGTTTCTAGAACCCTGGAAATCACTCCCATATGATCAACTCCTTGTTTTACATGTAGAAAAAAGAAAAAAAAAAGGTGTTTCATATGCTCCAAATAGTTGGAGGATACGTCGATTGGCTTTAGTTAGCATTGTCAAACGATTTCTTCATTGTATACTAAGTAGTTCTCAGAGCTTAAACGCATGTCTTTTTAAATTTCAGATGCAGCAAAATATTTGTGATGCATATCACACTTTCAGATGCATGTATGTCTGACAGATGCAGCATTCTGTTTCGAGTGTTGTTTGTTGGATGGAGTTACTTTGTAAT